TTGATCTTCTATTGTACAGGTCTTATTTTTCATTCTAGAGAGAAATATCAAATGCATTTATTATCAGCCACCATCTGCACTACTTTTTAATCCTAATCGCTAACGCGCAATTAACCTTGATCACACGTAGAAAATTTATGTCAATATTCTTAATAATATTGACTTTTTATTTTGAATTTTAATTGTTTTTATCATTATTTTATTGTGGAATATTTTTTTATTTTATTTTAATAATATTCTTCAATATTTTGGCGATTAATCCTTTTAACTTGTTTGTCAATGCTGCGGTAAATAATTGCATTCTGCGAGATTAATACCGAAAATAGGTCTTGCATAAACAATTATAGACAACGGTAATGATTTTCTTCAGGGTGACAGTGGTGGCCCGCTAGTGATGGAACGGTCTGACGGCAGATGGTTCTTAGTCGGGACCGTGTCTCACGGTATTAAATGTGCGGCTCCGTATCTACCGGGTGTGTACATGAGGACGACTTATTACAAGCCTTGGTTGCACAGTATCACCGGAGTCTGAGAAGCTGGGTCACAATCGTCATTCTCGCGTAATTGCGCGATCGGCACCGAATGCCATTCTGTATAAATGTACAAAGGAAGCCTAATTTATTTCCCTTAGAACGTACTTAGAACTCAATTAAGTAACACAACCGCAGATGTAACTAAACTTGAATGTCAGAAGGCTGTATCGATTTCTGAATAATAACGAGACGTCTTATTCTCTTATGCATCCGTTATTTCATATTTTCCATTAGTGCAACGGGAATGACACTTGCATAAGCTTGTGCTGAGTAAATTTTATTGTAGCAGAGAAATGCAGAGAAAGAAAGATATATATATATATATATGTATATATATATATATAGAGAGAGAGAGAGAGAGAGAAAAGAAAAAAAAAGAGATAAAGAAAAGGAGAAGAATGAAGAAACAAGTCAACCTGAGTCTCAAGTTATTTAAATTCGTACGGAAATAGAATTCTACGGAATTGTCTGCGGTAAATTACTACTTCTCGGCGCACAACCAGTGCCCGATGTTGCATTTATGCATATCAATGTTTAAACTCATCCTTATGCGCATGCGTATACGTATTTGCAGAGTCAATATTGAAGTAAGTTCAGAGAGAATATCGGAAGTTTTAAATCGTTATCACTCTTGAAATGACCGATTCCTATCGCTTCCTTTACATCCTTCCACGATCGAAGAAACAGATACAAATAATTCACGATTTACGTCAATGCTCTATATAGTGACTTCCTAATTTGAAACTGACTTTTCTTTAACAAAAATCTTTAACAAAAATATCTTATTAATAAAAATAATTTTTAACTTAGAAGTTATTCATCATTTAATTTATAATTGTTCAAATTTATATCTTTATAGAAATTGTTAACTCCTAAACAGTTCAATTAAGAGAAAATTTATCGCAAATTAATGATATTTCAAATCATATCAGTAACAATTTCATCATCAAAGACACGTGAGCGAATTTTGGACTACCATGTGTACGACACGAGTGAATTTCAAAAACTGCGCAACATCCTTCCCCATATTTTATATCTCTGCCTGTTCCGTGAATATTCGCGCCAGCTCTGTAATACATACATAAGTGCATAAAGACGAGCTGCAAGCCTTATTTTATTTCATTGTTAGATGTTATTTATTAAATACATTTTTATACGATAACATAACATGTGCGGTTATTTATTCACCACCAACGCATCACTCCACGCACGGAAATATCATAAAAGACATCAACAACTTGACGTCACATCGCCGTGCATATTACGCGCTACAATTCTCGAGGTGATACTCTTATTAAAAATAGAGACAAATGTTCTCCAAATCGATCGAACTTTTAATATACTTATATCATCACGTATGAACAACGTCAACGCAGTGATAACGTCGCTGCTTCCGGTGCTTCCTATCTTTCTGGCGCTCATTCATTTGGCACGTGTTTGAACTAAAAGGTCATAACACCGATAAAAATCTAAAAACCGTATATACCACAAGGTATTTGCCCACGGCATTAATTCTGTGATATTTGCATTTTATGTAAAAATCAAAAATATCTCCAAAATTTAAATTCAAATCCAATCAATCCATTCAAATATCGTTATACGCCGCAAGCGATTCTCTACAATTTTCCAGAAGACGAAACAATTTACGCTTTAGAAAAATTTGGTCACTTTTTATTATATAAATGAAATTTCATAAATAAGTTTTTTTATTATAATTAATTTCTAAAATATATCTTTCTAAAATATCTTTAAGTTAATCTTAGAGCAATCCCCTTATTACCTCGTTATGCTGTGATTATTAATTCTGTGCATCTGTGATAAATGGGAAAATAATAGCAAAGTGTGCAGCTATATAGGGGAACGAAATGTGCTACCGATTAGAATCTGTGAATACGCTCTTTATTATTTTAGCCATGCGTAAAATATATACAGTTATTCTATTCAGAATAGAACAAACTTCTTGAAAGTACTATTATCATTATTAATACTGCATTATAATTGATATTAGTTGTCTTTAAATCACGCGATAAGTAATTACGAAATTACACGTATCAATTGTAGAATTGTGTTTCTTGTATTTAAAATATTACGCAGAATACAAATGTCAACTGTATTCGTGATATTATATAATTTCGTGATATTTAAATATGAGAAAACTAATAAAATATTAAATAAGAAATAATATAAATAATAATATTACAAAATAAAAATTTTAGGAAGAAATTAACGTTAAATCAGACTGAAAAAATATTATTTAATACTCTACTTCAACATAATTATATAGAAAAATTACTATTTTAATACATATGTAATCATTTATGTATATAATAAAAGCAAAATTCCTCTGGACAAATAATATAAAATTATTTAAAGCGTTGAATTAATTGAATTTCGAGCGAAAATATACGTATAAACAGTCCACGTATTGTATTTTCGTTTACGTAGCAAAGGGCGCGGTAATTCAAAGGACCATTAAATGGCATGTCAGCTAACCTTAGCGGAGAATAAATTTCAGTAAGTAATCGAGATCATTAAACGAGTATTCATCATACAAAACCATCCTACGCTTATTCATGCGCGTGCTATTACGACACGAGACAATATACATTTATATTCCATCATAGTGGACACGAAGTTTCTTGGAAGTCTAGGACCTGTTATTCACGACACGCAAGACCAAAGTAACGTTCAAAGTTACGTCGCGAAACGTCAAAGCGGAAAGAAGTGATGCGATTTAATGGTACGTACACATACACGAAGCGACCCGGTGCACTCGCGAGAACGCATGTATGCATTCACCTGCGTACTCCGGCATTTCGTCACACAGGTGGTTGCATAGTAGACGGACGACGGTAAACGTATTTGCGATCTGTCACTGCAAGATTTACGCACGTTTACCGGTTTTGTTCTCCTCCTTCGTGAAAATGTTCACTGAGTGCCCTTTTTAGGAAAAAGGAAATAACATCGTAATTAGAATTTAAGATCAACCGTTAGTTGCAAAAAAGATTAAAGAGTAAAGGTTATACAATTTAAAACTATTGATTATATAGTTCATAATTCTTTTAAATAACAATTGAATTAAAAACTTTTTAGAAGATTTTTATGAGAAAACTAGCATAATAAAATAATAGTAATTTAAATTAACTATTTGAATAAACTTTCTTTAAATTCCTCAAAATGATATAAAATTATTCATCAGTATTTTCATTAAGGATTCTAATAAGAATAAAAATTACTTTACATTTTAGAACTACAACTATTAGCTCAATACCTTTTTAAAAACTGGCTTTTTGAGAAAAAAATCATTTAAAGATATTTCATTGAAAAATTAGATTATTATTATTTATTAAGGAGTTCAGATTTAAAAGCATTAAACAATAACGAGACTATCACGATTTTTGCTTCGCAATCATCTGGTATATGTGAAAGAGCATGCGGGGGTTTATAAACGAGTATATGGAGCAGGAGCGACCACCCGGCGGGCACATCAGGATACCTTGGATCAATACGACCAAGAGAGAACGAAACTAGCGGTAATATAAGGAGTGCGACAAGGAGTGAGCTAAAGTGAGCAAGGTAAGCACGATGAACGGCGAGAACGTGTCCTGGCGCGCAAAGGTGGAATACTGGTTTGTCATAATTGTCGGGAATACATCTTGAGAATCTCAAATTGAGATAAATATAACAACGGGCATTAAGAACCAGAAAAATTCTACAATATACAAAGGACCCCTCCACAAAGTCGAGTTCGCACGAGTGACGAGCGAGATTACTTATTATCTCTGACCTTTCGTAGAACGTGCGCTGCTATTCTTCTGGATATTACAGAACATCGTAATTTCTGAAGTTGTTTTCTAACGCAAACGGTATCCCAAAGGATCGTGATATTATAATTTGCGAAAAAAGTTAATCCGTGTGCGCGAATCTGATTGTAAAAAGATTGCATTCAAAGCAAAAAACTATGGATTTTTTCTTTTTTGCACAAGTAGCAAAAAGGGTGCTGTATATTATCTGGATTTTTTATCAAATATCGACTTCTTTTAATTAAAAATCAATGATTCGTTGTATCATTATTACACTCGATCACGTTATTGTTGACGCTGCATCGTCTGTTAACATCAGTAGCCTCTTCTTCTTTGCTCTGATTGGCCTATAGCTCCTTCCGAGTCAAATCAGCCAGAAATAGGTTGTTGATTCAACAATTTTCTTCAGGTGTATTGGTAGAGAAATTTGCATACTCCAAACTTAGGAAATGAATAGTCTCGGATGTGGTTTATTTGTTCAAGGCTCCTTCGGCCAGCTATCTTATTCAAAGCAGCAAAAGATCTGAATGAACAAAATGTCACGTAGGTCGCAATAGGGTGGTACGAAAAAAAGAGAAGAAGACGGGCCGGCAGCGGGTGGCGCATGCGTCACTATGTATATGCGCCCGTGTGACGGTAACCGGAACGACGTAGAAGTATAGATTGCCGAAGCGAGCACAGCACGGACTCAGTCCTCCAGCAAACTCCACCGAGGACTTGTTGAGCTTGTGTGCACCTAGCGAGGGGTAGCTAATCCTGCCCGGCCGAGGTGTAAAGGCGTTCCAGGCAAGCTGAGCCAGGGCGCAAGAACTTTTCGTAAGTGACTCATGGCTTGTTAATAAAAAGGGTGTTCCTGATGTTCAGTGTGTCATGATATTGTAGACATTGCATGGATGTTTTAGAACCAGAGCATCCTACATGTTGTATTTGTCGAAACTTGTTCTTGACGTTCAGATACATTCTCAATATTTTTTTCTAGATACAGTAGTTATAGTTAGAGTGTGTTAAAACACAATTAAAATAGAATAAATTGATTTATAGATTTGAAGTTAAAATTCATAAAAACAGTGTTTAAATATTTTTTTTTAAGATTGTGGATTTTTAATGTATTAAAGGATAATTTGAGCTGTAGAAATCGGATAAATTTAGATTAATTGAAATTTTGTGATAAACGTCTATTTACTATTTTAGCTACATCACTAATATCACTAAATATCGCAAATAAATTTCATCTCATTGAAAAAACATAAGAGCGAGATTGATGAAACACGAATTATCGATTGTATATTCGAGGTTATTGTTAGTAATGACCTGATGCAATTCATTTCATATGCTAATCATAAATTATTCCTTGACTATGAATAGAATATGAACACAACTTATTACATTGTTCCCTCTTTTACAAACAATTAAATGCTAATGCATTTAATCTTCTCGTACTACATATTATATGAAACAATTTTCTTTGAAAAAAAAGATGCCTATCACATCATTAATTGTAATATAAATATTAATTAATTGTAATGTAAATATAAATATTAATTATAATTTAAACATTCATGTTAAACGAATATAGTCGATTGCATTTTAATATATTTATAAATATTAATCGTTTAATTAACTATCATAGTTTATTATCATGCAAAATTAGAGGCTTATTCTCGAAGAATATCGCATATAAAAATATATGTATATCATAGATTTTCCCAGTATTTTATATGTGATATTTTTCGAGAATAAAACCCTGAATCGCAATAAAGTTTACTAATAGTGAACTTTAGTGAACTTTACTAATTAGTGTGACATAAGAAATAAATTAAAGATATGAAATTACGAAAGAAAAAATAAGTAATAATAATCGATGACTTTGCATGAAGAATGTTCTTATCGGTTTTTGCATTATGAAATTGCACTAGCAACCGTGAAAAGATCGCTTTAAGAAAAGTATAATAGAAGCATTACATCATCGGCATTTGATATGATAAGCCATCATGTAAAACGGGTTCGATGCTAACGGCTAACTGCGTCTTACGGATCGCTGCTTGCAACAAAAACACGGGATAAACAACACGGAAATAAAATATACTCATAAGAGATACAAGGAAGAGAAAATCAAGCGAAATTCATTTCAAACTAAACGGTAACAAATTCCTTCTTATCCTGTTTTGCAATTTAAATATTCTGTTTTTGTCCTTATCTTTGTAAGTTGCATCGAGCTGCATCGTAAATGTAATCTAGTTTTACGTAGAAACTTTTAGACGAATGTAATTTCAATACATTATTATCAGTCACAGTTTCAAAACAGTGAAAAATTTAAGTAATGAAAAAGTGAAATTTACTTTCTGATTCTGATGAATTAAGAAAAAAAAGATTTCAAAATGTTTTGAAAATTTCTGAATACTTATATTACTAAATTTATAAAAAATTTGTAAATGTCACGCACATAAAAAAAATACTTTCAAAAATAATATTTCTAATTATTTTGAGATAATTACACACATAATGCATTTGGCAATTAAATTCGCGCAATAATACGTAATAGATTAACATTCACTTTTCAATAATGTGCGATTATGCCGAGTTTTCTCTGATAAATTTCAATAATTTTAACGCGATATGAGTATCCTTTCTCTCTCGGATGATTATAGAGCGCCGAAGATCAGTACATCTCTAACGGCATGAAGGCGTGTGCGGTGATAACGTTAGTGCTTGTAGCAAACACGGCTTACATCGGTGTCGAGGCATGGGGTGGCCTTTTCAACCGCTTTAGTCCTGAAATGCTGTCTAATCTCGGTTATGGCAGTCATGGAGGTTACATGAACCGCCCTGGATTATTGCAAGTAAGTAAAGCGACCTATCCTTGAAAAAGTAACAGTTTTATATCTCGCGATCATTGTGATCAAGTGATGATCATATTTTGTAAGAAAAAACTTATAAATCATATTTCAATCTTTCAAACGTCCTTTACATGTATTTTAGATATCAAAGATACAAAAACCTGAAGATATTCAAATATCCGCTGAAAATCCAAGCATCTAAAAATGTTATAAGCTGGTATTCGTAATCGATTCTTGTTATTTAAAATCATTTTAAGCATAATCTTGAGATGTCATTACAGCCGTATTAGCATCTTAAATATAATAACTAAGACGGATTTAAAATAAGAACAGACCGTGAATTACGCGGCTTTAATTTTTCAAGTGCTCTTTAAATGTATCTTAGATGTCGAAGATAAAAATTCAACAATGTCTCCTTTAATTTTTTAATATTCTTTAAATATTTTTTAAACTTCTTTTAATAATCTGAACAATTAAATAAAAATTCAAAAATTATTTTAACCTCTTTTGAACACTTTTCATAATAAAATTTCAGACATAGACTGATAAAATCTAAAGTACTTGCAAGTTTGCCTAGATATCCTTCCGAGTTTTTTTAAACGCTATTTGAACTTTTTATTATTTGATTTAATTAGCAACACCGTACCACAATACAGGTCACGCACGATCGATACTTCATTTTCGAGCTGCGTGCACTTGTGCTTCAGTAACCGCGAGAAGAATTCTCCGGCGGCTCTATTTATTTCGCATTTCTTCGGTCGCGAAGAATTAACCGCGGAATTCCGATCTGGAGATTGAACAAAGTCGTCTCTGTACCATATTTGTGAAATTACTGCTACTATAGAAACTTTTACTGCGTTTCAACTGCAGTGGAGTTATAACTTCTGGGAATACTCAAGCTCGATAAATATCTGCGCGTGTTCAATTGCAGCTTTATTTATTTCATATTAACTCAGGAAGATTAATTCTCTTCGCCACGTGTATAATCAAGCCCTGGAAAATTTCTATTATTATTAAATGGAATGGAATTATGCAGTAATATTTTCTTACTCATGTATATTCTCTTTATTACATACTCCTTATATAGGCCACGTTCCGATGTATGTACATACGCTATCAATACTGAAAATCTATAATATGCGTAACATAAATTATAGTACTGGCAATGTATATCAAAACGCGGCCATGTTCATCATTATTTTACTTATATATTCTTTTTAAAGAACAGTGAATTTGCAAAATATTCTAAACAAAATTACATAAATAAATTTAATCTAGCAAGAGAATATCAAATGCATTATCATTCAACTCACACTTGTCTGCAATAAAGAAAAGCGAAAGAAAAGCATCACGTGACACACTGATAATAATGATTCATCAAAGTTACGGATGTAAGTTAGAAATAAATGATTAAATAAACTAAAATCAACAAAGAAAAAAGGCTACCGTTTCTTACAGATTTCGAAGCAATTCTAACAAACAATTCTATTCCATTTAATTATTGATTGAAGAGAAAATAACAATTGTTTTTACCATCCCACTTTTAATTTTCTTGATAAATTATTTCATAATTTTAAAATTGTTAATGTATTCAATTCTAAATAATGCATTTAGGATCTTAAAATATAATTTGTATTTTAAATAAAGCAGTCAATCCAAGAAGGATATGGTGGTATATATGAAGGAGTTGAACCAACAGAAGAACCTTGCTACGAGAGAAAATGCGTGTATAATGATCACTGTTGCCCGGGTTCCATTTGTGTAAATCTCGATGGAGGTAAATCAAAATATCTCATAATTGAAAGTTCTTTCTAGGAAAGAAACTTTTTAGAAAGCTCTTTTTAGGAAACAAACTGTTATGTTTTTGACGACATTTTGAATATTAAAATAACGTCAACTTGTTTCCTGAGTTATTTCTTATTCTTTTCGTTTTGTCGATAAGATAATAATCACAAGTTTAATAAAGCTCCCTTCTAAGAAACAAGCTGTTGTCTTTGACGACGTTTGAACGTTAAAATAACGTCAACTTGATTCTTGAGTTATTTCTTATTTTTTTCTTATTTTTGTCGATAAGAAAATAATCACGAGTTTAATGTTTCAGTTGTTGGAACATGTGTTTTCGATTTTGGTATGAAACAAGGCGAGCTTTGCAGACGGGATAGTGATTGCGAAACTGGTTTAATGTGTGCCGAAATGCCTGGACGGGAAACAAAATCGTGTCAACCACCGACCACTTCAAACAAATTATACAGTACGTTGACAAATGTATATTCTGCTCTTTTAAAATATACCCAAGAACAATAAGACACGATAACATCAAAACGACATTAAAATGAATCGTAAATGATTGAAAAGTGACTTTCAGTGATCATTTTGGAGTCATTTTGACATTATTTTAATAACGTGATGACGTGTGTTATTTGAATACACAGTTACTTAAGATGAAAAGATTCTATCAAGCAAATGTACTTACAGATGAGGAGTGCACTATGTCAAGCGAGTGTGATATCAGCCGTGGACTGTGCTGCCAATTACAAAGGCGACACCGGCAAACTCCTAGAAAGGTAACAATATCTATTATTATAATATTATAATTGTAAAACAAAGTTATATCTAAAATTTTAAAAAAAACGTGTTCGAAAAATTTTATTTCTTTAACGCAGTGTTTTGTATATGTGAAAAGAAATGTCTTATAATACTATTCGTGAATATAAATCTTTTTTAATATCTTATATCGAATAGAACGATCGTTTTCTAAGTCTATCAATGAAAAAAATCTCGTTTTATATAATTCTGATGATGGAAAAATCTCGGCAGGTTTGCTCGTACTTCAAGGACCCTCTGGTCTGTATCGGCCCAGTGGCGACGGATCAGATAAAATCCGTAATCCAATACACTTCCGGCGAGAAACGGATCACCGGACAGGGCAACCGCCTATTCAAGCGGATGCCATTCGCCTAAACGCTCGCGCGTCATCACAACGGATGGGAAGTATATAAAATAACATACAGTATATAAGATAAGCTACGAGAAAATCAAATCCTCCTTTAGTCGTTGTGAAGATACATACCTAGGTCTAAGTCTGTCGATTCGACATTACATTCAATCTCCTTCCAAGTCCTAACTCTACTCCATGCCACGATACACCGGAAAGTATAATGATAGCGTGCGACAAAAGTGGAGTTAAATATTACTCGGGGAGATGTTACTTCGAGGATGTTTCTTCTTCGAATATAGCGCGACTGACAAACCTATAACACATATCATAGTAAGCCGTCTTATAGGTCTCTAGGGATAAGGGACACGCTAGCGTAGTTATGATAAGGAAAGTGCGCTGATGTTAAGAGCGCCGTTCGACAAAGATGTTTCTTAATGATATAAAATTAAGGTGTAGAAGAAAGCTCGAAAGAAGGTTTATCTATCGGTCTACCGGTTGAACTTTTCTTTCGAATTGTAAAGAAAGTTTAGTGAAGCACTTAATTGTTCGCGATAAGTCATGGTCATAGAAATAATAATAAATGAAATAATATAATAAATGAGAGGCGTGCACAAAGGGAGAAGTAAAGTCCTTGTTATCGTCGCAGTGTCAACATTGACTATTTTATTTTATTAATCAATAATATTCTCGTTATGCTAATCTGTAGGATATTTCAAATGATAAAGTCTATCTTTTGAAAATTTTCGAAGCAATAGAATAACAAATCATGACCGCTGACACAACAATGTGGTTGCATTGCAAATGAGATTTCCCTCAATGCGAGAAATTTCAATGTCGATATCGTGAACGATAATTAAATTGTAAGAGACTGTGCTTTTCAACTGCATTTTCAAACATTTTCACTGCGTATCATAAAGTCAAAATTGATTTAAAACTTGTTAATTTCATAATAAAAAATAATCTTACGCAAAAAGAAGATGATATATGAGAAGCATTTCTAACACAAAATTAAAATATATATTAAAAATGACCCAATCAAAATCTAAAAGAGAATAAAGTCAAATAATTCTAAAAGAGACATTTTCTAAATTTGAAGTGTCTTTTGGATTTTTTTAGAAAACGCTTTGAACTTCTATACTGTTTGTAAAATGCATATTTCGCAATTTTGAATAACAAAATGAAGAAAGTGCAGTTAAAAGAAACAGAAGTATCGTCAACGATTGTAAGTTGACTTATATCTTTAATTGGAGTTCTTGAATGATTCCAATGAGTCGGGATACCAGCAGAACGAAAGGAGTCGTCTGCAATGGCGGATTTAAGGCTCAAATAAAATAAGAAATAACATTTCTAGCAAACCAGTAATATTTTCAATATTGCGAAAACGTTTTTCACTTTGTTGCTGAAATATGAATGTTACAAGCATATAAACAATCATAAATCAGCTCAACGATTTGGGAAAACTCGGTAATACACAGGTCCCTAATAAGCTCCAAGAAACCGATTAGCCATAAGTCCGCCATTGCACGTCCCGTTGATTATTCAAACGCACAGATCGAAGTATTTATTTTTCTTTCTTATTATACGAACGGTCGTCCGGCAGACATCGCAAGAAACGCGAGGTGTCATTCAGACGGTTTTAATGATGGAGAAATATTTTCTACTGGGGGAAGAGAGCTGAAAGAGGCGCAAGTACCTTATAATTCAATCAATGTTTCGAGTTTACCCTTAGAAATCGTACTTAGACGTTTAACTCGACTCTATGTCAAATTTATCCCTACCCTTCTCCAAAAAAAAACTTTACGCACTGTCGGTGTGTATATCGTAATCTAAGTCACATTGTGTTGAAAAATGACACATTTTAGAATGTAGGAGGATTATTACGCTATAAACGATACATATCAAAGAGGGAAACATTTTTCTCTGTTACATTATATTCAGAGATATAGCGTTATCTATAAATATACACATATACAATGACGAAGGAAAAGATGAGACACTTTTAACTCTTAGTGGCAAATATAAGTGTGCGTATTGTTCGTTTAAAAAAAAAAGATAAAATTCCAAGCAAGTACTAAGAAGGGGAAGTTATTAAAAATCGCGGAAATCGCTCTGTTAAACATCAATCGCAGAAATCGCTCTCTGTCGAGTAATAATATCGCGGAAATCGCTCTATTAACTGTATTAATGAAATCATAATATTATAAATATACGATATATATTATCTGTGGCTATTGTTATGTGAAACATTACTCTGTGGAAAAATTCATTATAATATTAATCGTTACTGTCGTCAGAGAAAGTATAATGTTAAATAATAATCGTTTCAGAAATGATTGCACGATGTGATTTTAAGCGTAATCGTGGGAGGTGCAATGTTAAGAGTTTTTTTAAATCACATGTACAACACAACAATAACAATAACAATAACAACAACAATAACAACAACAGCAAACAGAGAATGACAAAAATGCTCTAATCTCAATATCCGTAGAATAATCTGTCCTTTGTCTTGAAAAAAAAAAAACTCTTAGCGAACCGTTGCTTTCCATGCCACCGGTGCTATAATCGCCAAGAGAGTCCCCTGAAGACATATTATCAATCTTCTATTGTCTCTCGATATTTCCCGAAACGTTAATCTACCTGTGTAAGAAAAAACTCAAGACATATCGAAATGCCTAATGCATTTAAGAGAATTCTATAAAATATAAATGTTAATTACAAGATATATTATCCTATTGAAAAATTATATTTTTATCTTCGATCCGTATGTATACTTAAGCTCTATATATTTACACAATATATTTTCTCGAGAGGCGTACATATACCTATAAAATAATATACATATATATTATATATAACCATACATACGCATATTTACATATCCGCCCTGCTGTATCATACATATGTAATGTTCTGAGAGAGAAATTGAGATTTTTTATTCATAATTTTAAGCGGTTATCCTCTTGTCTTAAATTACAGATGTAAAATTATTTGTTAATGCGGATCGATGACCTAGTCATATAAATTTACTATTTTAATTACAATTTATGCGTCTTTTCTTATCTTTATACGTTTTATTTAATCTAATAATAGTCAAATACTATAATTTGGATTTCTTGAAAAATATAAACATTTAATGTTATTTTAGATCTGAGAAAAATTTTTTTATCTAATCTATCTGTGTATGATTAAATATTTTAAATGAAAATTTCATTATTCCGTGAGAATGTAGAAAGAAGTTTTCTTACTTAGATGTTGAATTTAAAATTATTTATGGCATATGTTGTAGAACATATCTTCTCCTTAGATACAGAATATTATATTATACAGTTATCTGCAAATATTTTATATATAACAATCTATATATAATTTCATAGATGGAATATGTATATATATACATATACACATACATATATATATGTACATATATATGCATATATATATATATATATATATATATATGTGTGTATAAATATGCACGTTTTCTCAAAAGTCTCTCTGTTTCTGCCTGGATATCTTCTTTGTCTTACTAAACTAATTAGTCGGGCTAAAGAACTGGACTAAGAAAGTATTGTGAACTGCACACAAAAAAAGATACATATCATAGCTTGTAAGAGTCTTTGCCTTGTAAGGAAGTTCAGCATGTTCACAAAGCACAGATTGCAAAATTGATGGCGAATATATACACATATATGAGCTGTTACAGATCTCTTAAAAGAAATTCAGCCATCTGGTTTTGAGTCGAAAGTACCTCTGCCGAAAGATTTAATCTCAGCATAAAACTTTATGTGTTTATGACGTATATGTAAATGTATCGTTCAAAATTACAATACTTAAAAAAAAAGTTCTAATAGCTAAATGTGAAATACACGATGGTGCATATGAAATAAACTGAATATATTTCTGTCACTCCTTTTGACTATCAAATATTTTCTCCTCCAAAAATATGCGCTCATGTATACATATAATCGACGGTTGGGTAAAGTTAAATTAAATGTTAATAGTTACCGAAAAAATGTAACTAAATTAAGTTAAAAAGTTAAGAGTCTAAGGTTCATTTCTACCAATGTAGATTAACTTTAATCTTGATTCGTCTTATTCCTCATCTTTTTCTTTTCCAACATATGATAAAACATTACGTAAAATATATATATATATAAGACAAAATATATTATAAAATAATATTTAATAATTTTATATATTTAATGTGACATTTTATACATATTCTAAATATTTTATTAAAATGTTTCAAGCATTTCAAAATAATATACATATAATGCATATTTTATATACATTATATTAAAGGATATTTTGTAAAATGATTTCTGTTGCCGGAGAAATAATTCAAATTTTATTCGCACTATAGATGACATTAAAACAATATTTCATTGCATTCAAACATTCTTCAATTATAAATAGAGCTGATTACGTTGATGCTTTCTAGCTATTTGGTGACACAAATCGATGAATATCATTCTTATATTTTTATTATTCTCAGAATGTCAAGAAAGATGGAATGATATTTATGTCTCGTTTCTAATAATGCAAATTAACTTTAATCTCAATTTAAAAGATAGATAGAAATTGAAGTTATTTTATATTTGTGGAACCGAGTCTAAAAATTAAAAAAAAAATAGAGTAATTAAATTAAATCGAGATTGAAGTTAATCTATAACATTGGCAGAAATGGACAATAAATAAAAAAAATCTTATGATATCCCATAAGCATGATCTTGGATACATTCCGTTCCACGCATGATACGCATAATGCATAATTTATCCTTGTTTACCGAATGTTAAACAAGAATAAATGATGCATTTATTTTTATGCATTTATTATGCATCATGTGTGAAACAGAATGCACTCCTTAATTGTTTAGATAATGATGCGCTATCTTGTGGACGTTGAAACAAGCTCGACCGAACATTGCATACTTGTGGCATATATATGGAAAAGATGATTTTAACGGAGCGAGATTAGAACGTTACCGCATAAATACTTGTATTACATAACTTTCAAGAAAGAATGAACAAATAATAATTCACTCACGGTACGATTTTTCTGCCATCGTCTCATATCTTCCCGAGCCACCTTTTCCTCCTGCCTCCCCTACGTCACAATGGCTCCTCTTTCGTTCGCACGACCGGCACGACATTCGTGAAAACAGCGGTGAATTACGATCGCTCGCAGTAATCAAACTCGACGAAATATACCCGGTACTCTCGACACGTGACAGATACCTTATTTCCCATCGAGACGAATCGAAACGAATTATTAACGCGAAAAAAGTACGATCACGCAAATACAACTTACTCGGGCTGACGAGCGTTCTGCGAATGAGTTGGAACGAGTCTCAAACGTAACGGAAGAAATTCGAAAGTCGCGCGGCTAACTTCACTCTCATACGACGTGAATCAATTCAAGAGCTATAATTAGAGTATTGTGGACTCTAATAAAAATCTAATGCAACAAAAAAATTTAGATAATTCGTAAACAGTTATCCATTTTATCATTTCAGCTGTTTGATGTAAAATAAAAAAAACACATAAGTCTAAATTAAAGAATATATGCATCTCTAATTAAATTATAGCTATATCGTATATATTATACGTTTACAAGCATCAATTAAGATAATTAATAGAAATGTAACATGCTTTTTCATGCTGATGCTCCATTTTTAGCAGCAAAAGATTACGTGATCAAAATTTATGCTAATTGATGCTAATAGATATATTTACCAATTTTTATTACGTGATCTGTTTTAATACTAAAAATAAACGTCGAACGTCAACGTGAAAGAACATCTTTAATTAGTATGTACGCGTATTAAATGGTGTAAACAAGAGGTCTGTTCGCATTGTTTGAAGTCCCCAAATATTTTTGCACTTAAAATGGGATAGATATAAATTTTCGCGTTGAAAAGAGAGAAAGCGAACATGCTAAGTGCAAAAGTACAAGCAACGCGAACAGATTTAAGATCTGGGTGCGGTCCACTTGATGATACAAATATTTCAAAGTTTTTGATTGACCAATCGGAAGAAAGAATTTTATTAATTGACCAATCAAAAAATGCTTCGAAGTATTTATATTATAGTATATCGAGTGGACTGTAGTTTAAATTACACTCCTCATGAAATTTTTGTAGGAATTTGGACACTTTCCAGAAATACTAATATAAATTAATTTATTTATTATGCAAACGTCAGCTAAAAATTTTAATTAATTTAGAATTATCTAATATTTTTTAATTCTCTTTTTCATTCCAAATGAAGTAGCGCAATCCATTTCCAATATGCATGTGCAACATGTACATCTACAGTACATGGCGTTTTCAGCTTTTTGCGAACTTTTCAGCTCTTTTTAGGTTATGTGTCGTGCAATTATACTACGAATGCTTCAAGTAATTCGTGTAATAATTTTATGAATATTGGATATAAATCCACTTAAGAGATTTATAAACTAAATGTAGCTTCTCCTGATATGTAACAATCGCATTCATGTATAAATATCAGATTTTTATTATTGAGACTCCGTAATTTGGAATGATGACACTACGTTTGTTCGACAACGAGGTGAGAAATTGAAAATAATGAACTGTCTGTATGAAAGTTACTATTATAAAACACGCGATTACTTCTTTAGATATATTTCATTTAAGTCTAATCTGTGATCTTTGCTTCCTGTTTTTTGCTTTTTATTGTTTTTTCATTTCTCTTTTGTTATTTTAGCTGTTGTCCCAAGGTAAAATTTCAGAAAAGACAATTTTGTCAATAAAACAGTCATAAAAAACAAAAAAGCAAGAAACAGGAAGCAAAGAGTACATAATAGATTTTGGACTTTAATAACTTTTATATTACTTATCATCTGTCTTTTAGGATTATTCCACACTGGATGCTATTCCAAATGTGTGCATGGAGAATGGTGAGATGGAGAGTTATGATTACCTGAGAGAATGCATCAGTAATCTGGAGAATAAGAACTCTGAGGTCGGTCTAGCAGCTAATTCTACAGGTGTCACAGACATTAGTTTACAAGGAGATGGTTTAGACGATGTTAATTTGAATAGTATTGATTTTAATTTTATGAAAATCGAAAGCTTATTCTTACAAAATACCTTGGACTCTACAAATTGTATAAAGAATGAAGAGGAAAAAACAAAACAAGACAGATCTATAGATGTGGATATTTCACACTCGATTCAACATTTCAACACAATGAGTCTGAACTTCTCAAATTTTTCAAATAGCAAAGATTCAGATAATATAACTGTTCATAATAATGATTCCTATACATTCGACAAAGATCAATGTTTAGAAAATAAGAACATAGAGAATTACAATTGTTCTGTCAAACTTTATACAGAAAATATAGATACAGATTCTAATGTCACTAAAGATGTCAGTAATATAAATCAAAGTATATCCGAATTGAAACGTGAAATAAAAGTTAATAATCTGGAGTTATCAGATGGAGATGAACAGTTTCAAAAGTGTGAGCAATGTCTAATGACGTTCAGATATAAAAGACACTTGGATCGTCATTTGGAGGGTCATCAGAAAAATAACTGTCCTCACTGTAATGAAAAATTCGCCAGACGAAAGCATTTAGATGTCCATTTGTTTCGTGCGCATGGAGAAAGGGTAGTTAGACATCCTCATTTGTGCGACGTATGTCCGAAAAGTTTTCCCAAACGCGCCCTTTTAAACCGTCATAGAGCAAAGCATACCTATCAGAATGGCAAGGTATGTTCGGATTGCGGAGATATGATAAACATGGATACAGACGAAAAAGAACACAAGGAGAATCATTGTAAAAAAAGGCAATTCAAGTGCCAGCAATGTTCGCAAACGTTCAGTATCAAGCAGACATATATATCTCATATTCAGAATCACGATAACTATAAATGTCCACACTGTGATACTACTTTTGCATCGAAAAAGAAGGTGCATGAGCACTTTAAAGCGATTCATATCCCAAAATTAAACGAGGAAGAATCGGCAAATGGTGATGAATATTAAAATCGTATTAATAGGACAGTTCATTTTTTTTGTACTTATCTAATAATGTTATTTTACAGGTCCATATTTTTGCGCTGATTGCAGACACTCGTTTGTAAAGAAAGATGACTATTTTCGACACTTGGAGTCTGCGTTACATCTTAATAAAGTTAACAAGGATATACCTGTAAGGGCTATATTCTCCTGTGCAATCTGTTCGAAAAAATTAATTACGCAAAGAGCTCTGGATCAACATGTCAGGCGTATTCACAAGGGCGCAAAGCGATTCGTCTGTAATATATATGGGTGTACGTTTCAGTGTGCCAGAAGGACAGATCTAGATAGGCACAAACATCTGCATGTAGAAGAGCGAAATATCGTATGCGAGCATTGTGGCAAAATGTTTACCAGTATTAGCATCCTCAAGGATCACGTACTTTATATTCATAGTAAGGAGCGACAATTTATTTGCGAAGAATGTGGCAAAGCTTTTAAGAGAAACAGTTTATTGAAGAGACATAAATTGTCGCACGAGCAACATCGGCCGTTTGCCTGTATGCAATGTAACACCGCATTCAAACGCTCGCACCATCTCACTCGTCACATGGAAACCTGTCATAGAATTACACTGGAAAAAAAGAAAAAGGTAAAAAAGAATTCTTATGATAGTCTCTTAAGACATATATTTTGTATATAAATAACCATAATTATAATTTCAAGGTGGTAAAATTCATGAAAACAAAGGATGGCCATCTTGTACCAGTGCCAGATAAACCAAACAGATCAGAAACTGATAAAGTAAAAGTCAGAAAGGGATGTGAATCAATTGCAAAAAATAAAGAGAAAGATTGTTCCGTTATAAATGTAAAGAAAGAGGTTGCAAATGCTAATTCGCAACTGGAAATACAACCATCATTAAGTTCTGAAGAAAACTCCGAATGCCGGAATTTGTCGTTAGAACCTACAAATTTATCTATCGTCGAATCTATTCCTCAAGTTTTCTCGTTAGTAGATGTAAACACAGGACAAGTGCTTACTGTAGAAATTACCAATAATTCGGAATTATTACCTACTAATGAACTTGTTAATCAACTTGGAACAAATTGTAATGAAATATTGAATTTACCCGATTATCCAGATACAGAATTTCAAAGTAGTCTTCTAAATATTGATCAAATGTGTTATGACAATACAAATTACTCTGAAATATCATTGGAAAATATTGAAGGTTCGTTCCCGCTTGTAAGTAATAATAATAAGATGGAAATGATAGAAAGCTATTTAACTCATGAGTTTCCAGCATTCCTTAATATTTGAAGATTTATAGTATAGAAGATTATATGTGTAATTATGTTGTTTAATTAATAATATAATAGTTGTTCACATTTAAAATGTCATTATGTGTTATCGTATTTTATTAAAATATAAAATTATTTATTTTGTTAACAACGAAGACTATGTTATTAAATTTTATAAAATTTATTTTTTTATACTACAAGATGTAATTTAATATTTTAATTTTTTTAAATAAATAAATACATATTCTTTCAAAGTACAAAAATTTTATTACCTCGTATAATAGCAAATATTTTAACAAATATTTTCACACATAGAGCTGTATTGTACATTATATAAGATATTATTTTATTATAGGATGTATAAACGTAAAATTTTATCGAACTGTTAGAATGTACACTAAGTTAATATGTGTATTAAATATATATAAATTATTATTTTACATAAAAAATGACAAATGCGACATAATAATGTATTAATCTAGATGTATTTAGTTCAACTTTAAAATATAACTAATATTAAATATTTGAGACTAATTGAAAATATATACGTATAATATTAATCCGAAATTTAATTTTGAACGTTTTTTTTTGTACACATTTAAACTTTACACATAGCTGAATCGAAATCCTAATCAGTTAAGCTAGTTAAAAAGTTAAAACTTTTCTTTTAACTTTATTCCTCTCTGCTATTTTACATTTTCTATTCAACAATATGTATATAAGATAGAAAATAATGGAACTTATTAATATACAAATATTTTCATTTTGCACATGTAAAAATACATGCAAAGACTAGGAGAAATCGGAAATTTGTTCGATCTCCATTTGTGTAAGATTAAAGGATTCAACATGTTGATTCAATCATGTGTATCTTTAATAGAGCATATTAAAATATAAAGAAAATATAAATTTTCAATAATCTATCATTAAATCATAACACGTATATATGTTTCAACCATCATAAAGTCATAATTATTATTTGTAATATAAATATAAACCAGTAATAAATGTGAACTATGATAAATATCTTATATGAATTATTTGCGACATAAATATAAATCAGTAATTCTTTTATAAATTCTGTGTATTGTATCAATTTGTATGTGCATAAAGCATACATACGCACACGCGTGTGTGTGTATGCTATTATGTATATATATACATATATATACATATATATACATATATATACATATATATATATACATACATATATATATACACACACACACACACACACACACACACACACACACACATATATAAACATAATTAGAAGAGAATCATGTTTCATGCATTTATATTTACCATTTATTCATCAAACATGCTTGTATCATTAGAAATATATAACTTGATATGTAATTAAAAAACTTAATATATTTAATTATATATTTCTGTTAATTAAAAATACAAAGAATACAACTTATCTTGTACCTCATTAATTCTTTGTCTTTATCCATTTTTCTTTTTTCTTCATGAAACAAATCTGTGTACAAGTATACCGATAACAGCGGCAGATGCTCCAATCGCAGTCCATAGAATTCCTTTAGCGAGTTTACTTTTTTCTTCTATTTTTATATTCTTTGATGACTTATCAGTCTCTTTATTTATACCCAACATTTTAGCATACAGATGCTTTTCTTTCTCAGTCTGTTTTAAAATTATTTCTTTTAAAGTTATTAATTCTGTTTGTAACGATTTTATATCTGGATCTATCTTTTGCACTTCAAGGAAAGCCATATAAGCCTTTCCATAATTCCCTTTGGCTTTTAATATCCTTCCTGTAAACAATATAGACATATGTAAAAAGATATCTACACTTGGGTAAAATATAATTCAAGAATATGAAAAAGTTAACATATTAAAAAAAAGACAAAATAACAATAATAATTTTAAATTTTTTATTACCTTTTCTAAATAAAGCTTTTGAATTTTTTGGTTGATACTTCAGAACTCTCTCAACATTTTCTAAAGCTGTGTTATAAGATCCTATCTCAATTAATGCAGCTGCTAAATTGTTATACACTTTTATGCAATCATCCAACAGTCCCTGCAGTTGACTATCAGTAATCGGACCTGATTCTTCATTTTCTTCATTCCAATTCATACCGTCTATTTGTAGATATTCTGACGCTCTCCGATAACATTGTATTGCAAAATTAAGCTCCTTACGAACAAACCACCAATTTCCACGTTGGCGTTTCTTGTTACTACAAAGAAATAATGTATAAGATGAAAAAAAAATTAAAGAGATAAATAATATAAAGTCTTAACCTTCAATTATATATATATATATATAAGTGTGTACATAAAGGTCATAAATAAAATGATTACCCTAATTCTCTCCTTTCCTTGACGCTTAGACTTTCTATATCAGGACTATCCTCTATTGTTTTCAATTCAACTGTGTATGTAATAGTAGCATTAGGTGGTATAGATCCTTCTCCACGTGTGCCATAAGCAAATCTAGGATCGATTTTAATTTCAGCAATTTCACCCAATTCCATCAATACAATCGTTAGGTCTAATCCCTGTAGTTTGATAAATTGTAAATAAGATACTGACAATTATAATACAAATAACAATGTTATAATAATAGTTATAATACCTGTACTATTTCAAAATCTCCTAATTGTATCGAAATATTATTTTGATCTTCCACCACTGTGCCATCATCAAGCACACCAGTAAACTTTAATGTACATATATCTTTTTGTATTGGCTTTACGTCTTTTGTGCCTTTCTTTATAACTTTCTTCATCAGCTGACCATTGCCAATTATATCTAACCATTCTTCCTTAGGTTCATCCTCCTTCAATTGATCCTCCTTTGGTTGATCATCCTTCGGTTGATCCTTAGATTGGTCTTCCTTAGGTTGATCTTCCTTAGATTGATTCACCTTAGACTGATCCATCTTAGGTTGATCTTCTTTAGATTGATCCTCTAAAGAAGAGGGTTTAAGGGGTAATACCTCACCATTGTTATCGTTATTAGATATCTCGCAAGAAACATCAGTCAGCACCTCTTCTTTTGATGACATATTTTCATTCATCTTAGGCAAATAAAAATTACTTCAATAAAATAATCCTATAAATTATATTTCTATAAGTATAATGGATTTTCTCGATTTTTTCGCAAAAATAAAGTTATATTTACATAACACAGTTATTCTATAATTGTGTAATATAAAGTTATCGATCATCGAACATGTAATTTACTGGAATGTTTAACCACGAAAATTTCGCGTGACTTTTTTCGAAGCTTTCTTAAAATCTTAAACACTGAATATTTGTTTTTCTAAGTTTGCTTTGAACTAAAAAATATAAATTTCTGTATAAAGAATCTTGTTCTTAGAATATCGCAGCTGAGCGCTGCTGAGCGCTGTGATAATGAGAATGATTAAGCAAAATGACGAAAAATTCTTGTTTGTTTTGAAAAATGTTTGTTTTGCGATAAAACCGTTAAAAAACCGGCTTGATCACAAATTTAACAAGCGTCAAATGAACAACAAAATAAAAATTTTATTGTCTTCTTCCGTTCTCTTTATTTTACCTCAGTAGTGTAAAGCGTGATGGTCATTTTTAGAAAAAACAGGCTAGGGAACAAACAACTTCTCGTATAAATTCTGCTCACTGTTGTAGTCTGTTGGAAGATGCCACGACAATCGGGCAATACAATAAGACTCACGTGCAATGTATGTTTGCTCGAAAGTAAACGGGAAACTAATTACTGAGTCGATAGTCGAATCGTTAACTTGAAGGTCTCGAAGATACGTAAAAAAAATCGTGTTACGTAAAGTCCTATTCAGACTCACAAAAACTTATTAAAATGTGCATGTAATAAATCAGTAATCAGCCAAGGTCTCCGAAAGATAAAAATATAAATTACATGTTTTGTGTAATTATGATTTATTACATCATTAAGAATATAGACATAAACGTTATAAATATTGTTACAAATATAATGTTATAAATGATAATGTAAATATTTCTATAAGGCCCGATTTCACATTACTTTGGGTTTTTTCCATTTGATGACACAGTCAACCGAGTCAACGCAAGTGTCGTTCTATCTTTGTCACTCTGTGAATGCCAAGAAAAATACAACGCTTGTGTCGATTTGTGTCGACTTGTATCATTAAATGGAAAGTACCCTTTAAGTGATTTAAAATTCACTTTCTCTCTTTAAAGTCAAGAGAGTGGGAGAGATAAAGTTTTAAATCTCGTTTAAAATGGAAATAACCTTAAGCGCAATTGGGCCAAAAACTTCGTTTGTACGAGGGATCGAGAATTTGTTTACAGAAAATTATTTATAGTGTTATCTGATTGAAGTAGATATGGCCGAAATGGGTGAAAATATGAATGGGTGAAATTGTGATTTTTTTCATTAGCTCGGTTTCTACACGCATACATACGCATACTATACTGACACATAAATCACACAATAATGGAAAGTTCGTAGAGACCATGTCGGCCTTTTTCCTGCTTTTTCCTGTCATCGAAATTGCCCGTACACTACCGCCAATACATTCATTTTGGGGAACTATGTGATTATATACAGTTTCTAACACTATCGATAAAATCGCATCGAAAGTAGATATGGTTCGTCTCTGTACTAAATCCTTAGGATAGAAGCGTGCTGTCTATCCATAATATAATATTTTTTAATATTATTCTTTATTGTAATCTTTTATATAATTCGATATTACAATCATAATAATTATTTATAAAACAATATACAATTATAAATGCTGTTCAAAATATAATAAAAATGATAATGTAGAAGCGTAATTAAAAAGTTTTAATAATATGAGATTATACGAAAACGTCGAAAATACGTATCATAACACAAATTTTTCTAAATCAATATTTAATGAAATATTAATAAACGTAGAAGAAATACTAACAACAATAAGATCGTATTTACTATTACCAAAGAATATTATCAAATAATAATACTTGGAAGCATCTAAGTGAAGTTTCTGAACGCAGTTCAATGGGTCATTCAATGACTTAATCAGGATATCAATCGTGAAACCTTTTTTCCTAGAATGAAAAGTGAAAAATTTTTCCATTAACTTCAATGATTAAAATTTTCATTTTTCACTTTCCATCCTCAGGAAGAAAGTTTCATAATATTAGATACCCAAGCTTGACTGCGTTCAGCAGAAAAAACAGCTTTGCAACTGTATACAATTTTTTAATATGATTGGTTTACATTTATTTGATCCAGAGAAATTAAAAAAAATTGAGGGCAAGAATTAAGGGTTAGTTATATTAAGGATCTTATGACAGTCATTTCAAAACTGCTTTTTCTGCTGAACGCAGTCAATGAAATATCGATTTGGAAAATGTGCTATCAGTGCTATTGTATCATTTTATTTTTGTCTTATTTATTGTTCATTAGGTATAAAATAAGGATAAAATGATGCAATGGCTCCCGAATGCCGCCATTGTAAAACGGCACAAAAAACAAAAATTAAATTAATTGGGTATTATATAATGATGATCAAATTGACAATAAAATCAAAGATCGAGATAATTTGTCTATGAAAGGAATGCTCGAGTTGGAATCTGTTAGAATTTGCAAAAGACACTCGACTGATATTTTAATCTCAATTGATAAAAGTAATTATAGTATTCGTTACTTGCTTTCGACGGTGAACTTGAATAACAGACACTGATTATTTTTATCAATCGAGATTATAAATATTTGAAGAAAACCTGGTGTTATAAATTATATAATCTAATATTCAATGTCGATCGATCTGAGAAATGCAGGATGAAAGATCCATCATCTGAGCATCATGATGAAAAAAAATCTCTCCTCGATAAGTTGATATTTAAATATATCATATTTTAAATATATCGTACATAACCTATTTACGAGTAAATGTACTTCGTGACACCTGTGAACTTTCGCGCGAGTTAGATCTCGCAATATTTCATGTTGCTTCGCATTTGCCAGGGATGTAATACAATCTATCAAAGGCCATGTCTTTTGCGTCTGAATTGCCTTAAAAGAACTAAAATTTATGATTTTTTTCTGTTGTCAAAAATTTGATCTGTTCAAGTACTCTGAATGAAAATAAAATTTGACAAAATTTTAAAGAAACGCTTAACGGTATGCATAATTTCTGATTTTTATATAAAAAAAAGGAAATATTTCTTTTTTAGTTATTTAATTAAGAAATGGGAAAAACAAATGCATTACCGTCGTTATTTGTTGATTCTCGAGTTCTACACTCATCATCAAATTATAGACAAGATTTGCTGAGTTCAGCAGAGCTTTGCAACTGTTGTAAAATTGTTTACGATTGTTGATTTGTACATTATTTAGATTCAGTAAGGAATTAAAAACAGAATCAATCAATATGTTAAAGAATCATTTTACAACAACTGCAATGCTGCTTTTTTTGCTGAGTGCAAAATCAAAATTATGCTGCGTAATCAAAAATCGACGATTATTCGAAGGAAATTCGACAGAAATCAATGCATGCAAGAAAATCAAATTCTATTCTTTGAGCAGAAAAGCGAAGAATCGACGCAAAAATACAATAAAAAAAAGTATTTCGAAACTAATATGGACTCAAATACGATAGATTACCAATTTTTTTTCGATATGAGCTCGTATAAAAATATATATATATATATATATATATAATTGTACATGCAATATTGCAGCAATAATAATGTTGCAATTGTTGTGCTGTTAGAGAATCTTAATTCAACTAACTCTACATCTTTTCCTAATCCTAAAAATTTAACAAAATAAAGATCGAGCAAGTTGAACTGAGAATAAAATTAATCAACCGAGAATAAAATTAATCAACACATTGATAGAAATGGACATTAATTTAATTTAAATAGTAAGTAGTTTTAGTAGCACTATGAAGCAATTATTGTATTAAAGGTGATACTCATAGTTTTGTACTTAAGATTGTCTTAAATTGATTTAATAATAATAATTAAAGCTCTATATAAAAACGATTATTGTACACGTATATATTATATTTTTCTTGAGATATTATCTTATTAATATACATATATATTCTATCAATGCAGATTAACTTTAATTTATTTTTTTTTGTTCTTTAGCTTTAAAAATTAGAAAAAATAAAGAATAAATTAACCTACATTATCATACAAAATTAATCTACACGTGGAAACAGACAACAGTCAATGACCCTGAATGAACTGTTCGATTCAGTTCAATTCAATATGAAATCAAAAGGTACTATTAGACATGAAAATTGTCAATTTATCATCCACATTTGTGCCCTAAAGCTCGTATCAGTTTCGATTTGCAGTTATATTTGACTAACAATCAAATTGAGCTAATTGAGTTAACTAAATACGTTTTATTCATTTATTCTCATATTCGCGGGCCCTTATAGTGACTCGCTCGTTACGTTACCGCCAGGGAAACGGGCCAATTGGACGCTCCCACATTTCTAAACGTGCACACGCGTACTCGAGGCACCGTCGCATCCGGTAGTGGTCCACTCTGACAGACCACTGCGGGATCAGACAGTGTGGTACTTTCATTGTCCGTAGCATCATGAGGTTGCTGCTGCTCGTAGGCTTGATAACCGTTGTCTCCTGCGCGAGCAATGGGCCGAAAGTTACTGATAAGGTATGACATGTGAAGTATCTGGATACTATCTGCAAAATATAAATTGTGAATACGTGGCATTTCGTCGGCGCGAGATATTTTTGTTGCATGTATGGAAAAATCCGTACGCGTTACTTACGAACGAACAATGCCTTTGTCCGGCAACGTATATTCTCTCACAAAGAATCGTTTACTTAATATTAATTAATGAATAATTTATCAAATTTTTAGGTATGGTTCGAAATTAAGATCGGCGATGAGGTTGCGGGTAGAGTAGAGATCGGTCTGTTCGGCAAAACCGTTCCGAAGACAGTCAAGAATTTCGTCGAGCTTGCCAAACTGCCAGAAGGTGAAGGATACAAGGGCAGCAAGTTCCACAGAGTGATCAAAGATTTTATGATCCAAGGAGGTGACTTCACAAAGGGAGATGGCACTGGAGGTCTTTACTTTTAATTATTTAGGACAGATGTACCGTCTAAAAATTAGCTCGCGAGCTAATACCTCTTCATTGTCTTGTTGAGCAAGATAGAATAAACAAATAGAATAAACACTAGAGCTCTGTCCAGTAACTAGCTCTTCTAGCATTTGTTCTTTTTATTTTCTATTTGTCTCATTCAATGGGACAAGGTGAGGTAATAGCAGATACTTTTTATTTGATAACACAAGTGTATGCACAGGTAACGTTTTATTTTTACTGAATGTTAAAAAAGATAGAACGCGATGCTTGTGTTGATTTGTATTATTAATGCCTGTTCCTATCAATGTAATTTATTTTTAATCTCTTCTAATAAAAATTAGAAAAAAAGAGTAAGCTAGGTCGAAATTAAAGTTGATTTACATTGGTAGAAACAGGCAAATAGAAAGCATCCAGCATTTAGTTCGTTAGCTGAGTTTTGGACTAGTCTGGTTTAGCATAGATGCTTTGATTCTGATTGCTGATCTATAATCTACCCGTTAGGTCGCAGCATCTATGGGGATCGCTTTGCGGATGAAAACTTCAAACTGAAGCACTATGGCGCTGGATGGCTATCCATGGCCAATGCTGGCAAGGATACCAACGGGTCTCAATTCTTTATCACAGTTAAACAAACACCTTGGCTCGATGGTAGACATGTCGTCTTTGGCAAAGTTATCAAAGGAATGGTAAGAACACTTGTTATTATTACGATAACTTACTGAGAATACACTTTTTTATTTTACTCTATTAATTAAGTACATAAAGCTTCTTCTTTTCATTAATTTTTTTTATTTTTCCTTTTTTCACTTTGGAGATAAAAAAAATAAAGAGGAACGATGCAAAATGTTCAAAAAAAAGCAGACTTATAATTTCAATATTCTGTTGTAGGATATAGTGCGCAAGATTGAGCAAACGAGCACCGACTCACGAGATAAGCCACGCAAAGATGTGGTCATCGCCGACAGCGGCGCGGAGACTGTGACAGAATCATTTAGTGTATCTAAGGATGACGCCACTGAGTAAATTTCAGCATTCGCCAACAGCCTCATTATTCTTTATTTCTTTATTTCTTATACAAAACGATCTCTTGGGAACTACATGATGTTTGATAGCCTTGTTGGTTTTTCTAAGTGGATGAGTGGCACTAATGATAATCTGTATCATGATTTAACTGTTTAACAGTGTTCTAATGACAAGATTAACAGGGAGAACGACTCGGCAGCGATATCAACGAAAAGCGTTTTGTAAGGTCATAAAGTGTTAAAGCAACAATCAATAAGTAATAGAACGATTGTTTCTATTCTAATTGTTAAAAACTATGTATAACTCGCATTGCACGATACATTTTGTACGCAAACAGATTTTCTACATTCACAAATAAATGTAAGTTGTTTAAAGTATCGTCGTATGTGACTTTATTTCTCTTACATAAGAAAACTGAATCACCTTATCGAATTGATG